TCTATTTAGAGAAAATTCGTTCTACTTTTTTCGAATACTGAAATTCAAACTCTGCTGATGACTTATTTTATTAATATTTGTACTTTGGTATCCTTACTTTTATACCGGCATACAAAAACACATATATAGGTGGTATCCTAACTTTAGGACATATCTTTTCTTATAATTATTTCATTAACCTGATTTAAGCCTAAGATATGTTCTCAGACCATCCTTAAGTATGTCCTAGTCATCGATCAGTTTTGTTGACATGGCCCATGTCTTAAATGTCATTAAAATGGTATGAAGATAATGTAAACGAATCTTTTAGTCGGTCGTCCAATTTGCTGTAAAATCATTCAACTAATGCTCCTTTAAATATCCTGCAGATGGATTTACAAATGTTTAGAATATCGCAAAAGTTTAATAATTTGACTTTAAATTTTGCATTTCTCAAAATCTGGGCCCATGTCAATGACACAATTAAATGCCACATTCTAATTAGGTTTTTTAGAATTAAAAAAATTGACTAAAAATCGAGAAAAAAAAAGATTTATGATAGATATTTATGTACAGTATCGTCATGACGTCAAATTTACATTTGCCTTTTCGTCACATTGTATACAAGATTCAACTACCTATTCTAATATAAAAACAAGAAAGAAACAACAACATTAACAACAACAACAATAAAAAATTCACAAATAATTTCGGTTTCCGATTCGAAGCATGAAATAATTCAAATATAGTATCGCTCCTGATATTTGTAGAGCTTGGATCTCTTTAAATCAAGGACCCCATAATGATTTGGTTAACCGTTATTGAATATCTATGGCACAGATTGCTACGGAAGTGTTCCATTTTACATATAGTCACTATACGTCCTGTTTTCCTGGATTCTGACATTATTGAATTCGACTAATAACGACATGTGCCTGCCATGAGAAACAAAACAAGGGTGGCACTAGTGGAGTAACATAAGTTCAACCCGGGTTCTTTTGGTGAGTTCCGTGTTTCTCAATCTTTAGTTTTCTGTGTAGTGATTTTAATTGATTGTTTATATTTTCGTCTTTTTTTTTCATTTAGTTTTTGTGTCGTCTGCTTTTTCTCCCCGAGGGGTTTTCAATTGCCTCCCAGGTTTCTTTTTCCCCCTTTAAAAATTGTTACTGTCGATGACGATTTTTGATGCTTCTAGTTTACTTTCACTTATTTTGTGTTTGAGCCATCTTGGTATTGCCTTTATGGATATTTTTGTCATCGATTCTAATTAGTTATCAAAGGTACCAGGCTTATAATTTGTAACGCCAGACGCGCGTTTCGTCTACATAAGACTCATCAGTGACGCTCAGATAAAAAAAGTTAGAAAGCCAAACAAGTATAAAGTAGAAGAGCATTTCTAAAACTTGCAAATGATTTTCAGACTTAAAATGCGTCACACAGGTCTTACTAAATAAACTAAATAGTCAGAGAGCGACTATAATATCTTGATATAAAAAAATAGTTTGAATCTGAGTAGCGAAATATTCAGCGTCTACAAAACAAATATTCTTTCATACTGGCCACATTTCACAGGTTGAATATTCTGTCAAGTTGCTCACTATCGAAAACTGATAAAAGAATTGTTGATATTGACAGTTAGCGGGTTGATCAGTTGAAATTTGAATAACTTAAGTTTTGGAGATATCCGGATACATTTGTTCCAGTCCTTGACGAGTATTTACGAGGAATGACCACTTCTGGCAATATTTTGTGGCTGGCTTTAATAGGTAGGTATGATACCTCTATGTGACATTTGTGTGTGTTTGTTCTTGTCTATAGCTAAAAGGTTTTTTATCTACTTAACACCATGTTTATAGAATTTTCACCTAAGCTCACTTATCATGTTGCTGACACTTAGTTAGAACTTTCTTCTATATCTGTTGGTGACATATCGTGCAGCTTGCCTTTGAAACTTTTCGATTTTACCTCTATGATTTTCTCTAATAGGGGTTACATACTGTCGTGGTAAATTCAATTAGTGGTCTTATTACTAGTATTGTCTTGCAAGGATTCTTTTTGATGGATAAAAAGCCCATATGGAGGTTTCCATTTAGGAAACCAAGGCTTCGGATGGCGTTTCCTGTGTTTTAGTTTATATGTTCTCTCCGATCTAAATCACTTGCAATGGTGCAGCAAATATATCTAGTTGATGTTTTATGCTCTAGAGTGTGGCTGTGAAACTTGTAATACCTTTTGATTTGGTTTAATCATTTTGTAAATGTGAGAACGCTGCATTTTTTTCAGAGTGGAACCCCATTTTCCAAAGTTTTCCCCATTTTGACAGTTTGTCAAGGTCTTTCTGGAGGTTATGACAGTCGTTGTCAGAGGAAATTGTCAAAAAGACTTCACGGTATAGTCATTAAACAGTCTCACCGTTGAGTGGATGCCTTGTCGATTTGTTGTCGAGGTATTCTTCTGGTTAATCTGTCACGAGTTTTTTCCTGTATAATTAGGACATGCAGCAAAGATGACAGTTGTGTATTGATCATTTAGTAATTCTGCCTTATTTATGGCATCAGTTTCTAATTTTTCATTTTTTAACGGTGATACTTCGCTTTTATAACTTTTCTCGTGTTTGATGTATCTCCGGAATTTTGGGATCTCAATTGTACTTTATTCGGCTTTTCAATTTTTTTTTTATTCTTTTGTAGACCAAAGGCTATCGTACACAATTTTAATTCTGGTATCTATGATGAGTTTATTTACATCGACCGGGTCGATGCCTTCTACAGGAGGGTTTCACCAACCCAGTCAGTAGTCATCACTTCTGTGTTGACATGCATTACAATGTATCATTGATATGGTGAAAATTATAAAAAAAACTGCTTACAAAACGTTTAATATTTCGAAATACTTAGATTTTCTATTCCAGGAATAGATCACCTTAGCTGTATTTGACAAAATCTTTCGTTAATTTGGGTTCTCAATATTCTTCAACTTCGTACTTTATTTTGACATCTTGTACTTTTTTGGATTCGCCATTGATCAAAACCCGCGTCTGGCGTACACAATTTTAAATCCTGGTAACTATGATGAGATTATGTGTCGGTAAACGAGTCTCTAAATTGTTTGATGTATTTCTCATAAGCTTGCCTAATTTTTGTTTTGAATTTCATATAAAAATGGGCCATATATTATGGTAATTATCTTTTAAAAAGACTTTGTAAACATTAAAATAGAAAATTGTATCTTACTTTAAACCTATGTTGCTCGCAAAAAGAAGCAATTTTTATATCAAATCTTGTATCGTGTTTTAGCAATATTTTTAGTTTTGTAAGAATTTGTTGAGGCATATTGAGACAAAGAAAATTTTTAAATTGTGTGATTTTCTGTTTTTCATCGGTTTTAGTATAGCAGGACAAAGCGGCATAACTCAGACCTTACTTGTCATATATTAATTTTACTGGTTTTTTTTATTAGTCTAAGATGACTTTATTTAAGGGATTATTTGAAATATTTGCTTCATTGATAACGGAAACTTTTTTAAGCAATACTACATTACAATGAAAGTTGTTTAACTATTAACAATCAAGTGATACAATCTTCCACATGCGAAAGTCTATTAGGCATTAAAATTGACCCTTCTCTCACATGGACAAATCAATTGATTTGATCTGCTCAAAAATTTCATCTAGTCTATCTCTACTATTAAAGATTAAGAAATTTCTAAATGTAGACTGCAGAAAATTATTTCATAATGGTTATATCTTACCACTAATTGATTATTTTTGTATAGTGTGGAGTAGTTGTAGAAGTGAGGGTTTAAATAGGATATTAAAATTACAAAAGAGAGCTGCTAGAATAATACTAGAAACAGACCATTTTGCTCATTCTGAACCCTCATTCAAACATTTATACTGAATGACAGTTGAACAGAGAATAATATATCACAAGATTGTGATGACATTCAAGTGCATCAAAAATTATGCTCCATCATTTCTTACTAGCAAGTTTCATTTTGTTTAAGACAGAAATCCATACCCCTTGAGAAATGCTGTTCAAGGAAACCTCAACTCCCTCAACCAAAAATCGAATTGTTAAAGAAATCTTTTATGTATTCTGAACCATTCTTGTGAAATAATTTGCCTATATTGTTACGAAATATTACAAATGTTAATTCTTTCACATACAAAATAATATATCATTTATTGAAATCAACAAATTGTATTAATTATTTCATCATGTTTATTTTTTTCATATAATTTGATGCAATAGTATTGAACATTATCATTATACTTGACTTTAATACTAATGTATGCCATGTATATGTTTACCATTTTATTTATGCTTTTCTGTGATTTGGTCAGGAAATTCAATATGATTAGTCAAGAATATGGCAGTTGTTGTCAAATAGTCCGTTTCTATGTATGTTGGCGTTTGTTTTTGTTGCAGTTCAGTGTTTCTGTTGTTCCGTTGTTTTCCTCTTATAGTTGATGTGTTTCCCTCGGTTTTGGTTTGTGACCCGGATTTGTTTTCGCTTACTCGATTTATGACTATTGAACAGCGGTATACTACTGTTGCCTTTATTGAGCCTCAGGGAAGATTAGTTACTAATATAAGTATAGCTAACTGTGTAACCCTCTTAAAATAAAGTATTGTTGATGTTATTGTTGTCGTAGTTGTTGTTAATTCTAATTCTAAAAGTTTCAATCTTGGATTGTTGTTTGAGAGTCGCATTTGCGTCATATTACACTATTATAAATTACGCCACTAATTATAAAGAAATAAAAATAGAATACAGCGGGTATCTATGGCAAGCCGTTCTCGTCAAATCTATGTTCAAGCCATTTTTTCGAAAAAAGAAGCCTAATATATGTAAGGCCACTTATCAACAATGCATGTTGCATGGTCAAATACGTTATGACTGTTTACATATAACTCAATTCAATTTACACAAAGCATCGATGGATTCATAGACTGACAAAAGTGCATTCCTTCTTTAGCAGATGTACCGATAATTTGATTAAACTTATTATACATACCAAGATCATCTATATCTTTCGACATCATCAAAGTGGAACAAACTAATGCAATGCAAGTGAGAAAAATAAGTGTTGCGAAGAAACCAACTATTCTGTTGATTCTCTTTCGTCGAATTTCTTCTTCTCTCGATTCAACCGTAGAAGTTATTCTGACAGGAAATTTTGGTGGTTCTAAACGAATAATTTGTGTAGAAATAATCTCAATTTCGTCTAAATCGTCAGTGGATTCTGTTGTCACATCTTCTGAAGGAGTATATGTCACGTGATCATAGTTCATCATATTACACAAGCTTCCAAATGTTTAATTGTCATGATCATCCTTTATTAATGTAGTTCACGATATGTAATACTGTAAAATATAATAAGAATTATAAAATACATATAATAAAAAAACAAAGGATATAACTAACTAACAGAAAGTATTTTCTTAACCACTGAAAACAATGCAAGGTAGAACATTGATTGATTGATTGATTGATTGATTGGTGTTTAACGCCACTTTCAGCACTATTGTGCTATTTCGTTGCGGTCAGTTTTTATTGGTAGAGGAAGCCGGAGTGCCCGGAGAGAACCACCGACCTTCGGTAGGAAAACTGACAATCCTAGTCAATTAAGATTGGAGTCGAATGCACTTGCCCCGTTCGTGATTCGAACTGACAACCTCAGTGTTGACTAGCTAATGATACAGTAGTTGGACTACTTAGACCACTCAGCAACCGAGGCCCCTGCGAGGTAGAAAAAAAGTTGCAGCTAAAAGTATAGTCTCAAATGCGAACATATAGAAAACAAATGTGTACAACCAACAATCCATTCCACAATGTCTACATTATACACGAATAAGACTAAGTGACAACTCTGATATGATATTATTACCATCATGTAGTTAAATGTATACAGCTAACAAATAGACTGAGTTTCAAAAGCAAAAACTATACATTTTTCAAATACCCTATGAAATCGATCTTTTTGTGCTTAGTAATGCAAATTCGACTCATATACCATACACTTTCGATTTCTATACTTTACTTAACTGAGGTTGTGTCAATTCCATTTGCTAGTTATCTGTTGTTGGTTGCTACTTTTATTTTTGGCTAAGATATATAGGGGGGGGGGGGGGTAAGAAAACAGAATAACGTCCGTTCGTTTATACAAAGGACCCAGGAATAACACACTCTTCAATACAATTAAAGCAAATATTCAAATACTCATAGATAGCTCAAAGATGAAAATGAACATGTCCTCATACCACATCTCCTAATTTTATAATAACGCAGAAGTAAATATTAATAGATTGTTGGTGTTAAATAGTTGCCTACAGTCTACTTTCTACTTAACAATTAATATCACGTGATTAATATATCCTGGTATTTGCAATGCGTTAAATATTTCATGACTTCATCTGTGTTTGAAGGTTTAATGATTGTATAATGTTTATTGTCGTGTTGAGTTTGTCATTAAACTACAATATAGAGAGATGGAAAAGAGGATTACAAAGTAATTATATTGCACCCACTATTGTAGTTGTAGTTTATTGGATATTAATAATTCTTTTTCGTTCAGTTTTTATTTTTTTTTGTTTCTTCTGATCTTTAATTTTTGAAGCTTCACTTCAAAGAGCTATTTGAACTGGATAAAACAGACAAAAAAAAGTAAAACAACACTTTATAAATACCATAAGAACTTTTCTAGATTTACCTTCATCAGGAACGCTCAAAGCCTAATATTTGAAAGCCAAGGATGTATAAGAACCGAAACACTTGAAGAACTATATGACCAAAAAAGGACATACAAATATGAGTCAAATAAATCTAGTGTCAACTTTGCCTGTGGAAGTTGAAACCTTAGTTTCTAAATAATTTATAAATTTATAAACGGACAATTTAAGAAGTTTTGTTATAACTCTTATCAGTACCGAAATACTGACCACAGAGCTGATGATACCCTTAAGGTGGTACCCAACACCTTGACTAATATTAATTTGGCTCGTTTAATTTTCATAAAATTTTGACAAAATGTTTACTTTGACCCTTTGACAAAAATATAAAAATTTCAAAAAATTTGAACCAACCACTTTATCAGAAAAATTTCATTGGTTATATAGCAGTTTGACAAACACTAATTTTGATCATTGAGAAGCTTAATATTTCCTTAACAATACAACGTGATTAAAACGTTTAGCTGATTTTTACAGAGTTATCTCCCTGTAGTGTTAGGTACCACCTTAAGATGATTAAAAATAATGTTTTGGTAACTGTTGACTGCTATTTGACTTTCGTTGTTTTTCTTCTTATCATGGTTTCGGCTGTTTTCTTTCTAACGCCCTCGTGGGTGTATCCTATACTTAACTTAATGTTTCAAATACGTATGTTTCCTGTTTTAAATCTCAAAGGTCATCTTTGAATTAATTAGACCTTGAAACTTTAAGCTGTAGTATGAAGAAAAGAACTTATAATTAACACAGGCACACAGTGGTTAATTTGATTCAACTCTTCCAATTTAGCTGCATATCTGTTTTTTATAATGAAGGTGTTTGATAATACTTTACTTCTGCTAAAGATTTAAATCACTTCTAAGATAATTCTGCAATAAATTAGACATGCGTGAATATCAACACGTCAATTATATCTGGCTTACTATCATTAGCCTCAGTTGAAAATAGAATAACGGCTAATTTTGTTGTTTTTTCGCTAAAGTTAGTAACTATAAGATTGACACAGCGTGCAATTTGAGCCTCTGTGGAAAATAGAATAACGTCTTATTTTGTTGTATTTTGCTTAAGTTAGTAAACATAAGATTGACATAACCATGAAATTTAATAATAGGAAAAATGTGACGTTTGTTCCTAGGCTTAAAATGGATTTGTAATATAATATGGCTTTGTAAATTGATAAAATGAACATGATACTATACTGCACACAAACCGTTTTTGAAATACTCGTTTGGTTAAATTTAAAGAAAAGGTGGTCTGAAAATTAAGTAATTGAGGGAAAAGTCAATAAACAATTTATTTTGCAACAACACAAAAACATTGAAAACCTCAGCTATCCAAAAACATTTTTAATGAAAAAGGAAAATTGTCGGACTTTTTTGTTTTGTTTAATTGTTAAATTTGTTTCTGGTAAAATTACGTCTTGTGTCATCTTGGACAAAGCTAAAGTCAACAGTCTGAGACATGTTAAGCCAGTTATTTTCAAAATTTGACTGACCCACCCTCAACCTAATAAATTCCTCATTCTAAACCGATTGAAAGGAATCGTCACACTATGTTTCGAAAACATGAATTATCAAAATATATATAAAAAAAAAAACCAATACATGGTTTTAGGATCTTCCTAAAAAGTCATATATAATTGGTTAAAAAATGGAAATCTTGATTGTAACAGAAAGATTTTACATCGTAAAGACACACGGTGGGAGTGTTTTGAACATACAGTTGGCATTACTGTGGAAACCAATTGTGCTTCTCTTGTTCGTTTATTCCTTTAAGGCAGACTAATTAATTGAATTAATAAACCCGTCCTCTTTTCCCCGATTGTGACATCAACGAATGAGACTCATATCCGGATTTGCACTTGCTTGAGCAACACGATGGGTGCCACATCGGAGTATCTGAGTTCACACCCAGTTTTCGGTGGGGTTTGTGTTACTCGGTTTTTATTTTCTATGTTTTGTGAACTTGTTCGTTTTTTGCCATGGCGTTGTCATTTTTTCTTCGACTTATGAGTTTTGAAAGTTCCTATGATATCTTCCGCCTCATATTTAAGCTTGCCTTTAGTTTTAAGCATTGCTATGCATATAATTCCAAAGTAATGTTTCAAAGTTTGGTAATTATGTTAGATACAGTTACGTCTGCTTCAAATCTGGATCGTAAACATTCCGGCAGCACCTGCTAATGGAATAGTTATCTCCAAGTTGATACGATTTATCAGCGCTTGTATTTCAAATCAGCTAGCGTACTCTTGATAATTATAAATAAACTGTTACCAAAATTTACATAAGATTACAGTAGCTATGTTTAGCAAAATCTTTCGGAGTTTTGGGTCCTCAATGCTCTTCAATTCGTACTGTATTTGACCTTATAAACTAGTTTGATTCAAGCGTCACTGGTGAGTCTTTTGCAGACGAAACGCGCGTCTGGCGCACAAAATTATAAGCCTTGTATCTTTGATATGTTATTTGATAAATGATTTCTTCTCACTAGGAAGCTGATTCTTACTCTAAAAGTTCTACAAACGCAACCCTGATTTTATTACCGTTATGGAATATCTATGCGAGAAAGAATATGTAGTACTATATTTATTGACGTACATGCACTATTTCAGTATCGTCAGCCCGAAGCAATGGTTGGTATCATGTTCAGGCATACTACATGTACTTATTATTATCTTGCATTAGAAATTTAAGCTACCTTTAATATCTTTATTACCTTTTTTATCATTTATTATATGTATTTGAGGCCGAAAAGGAATTTTATAGGGATAGGAATTCAAGAGTCGAAAAAACTCTCCTGTTATTCATATATAATTACATTACATGTATGTTTCATTTGAATCCGTAATTTTGATTGGGAGACAACAATCGTGAGACAGTCCAATGTCATATTTTATTTCCGTATAATTACATTACATGTATCATGTTTCATTACAATCCGTAGTTTTGATTGGCTGACTACAATCGCGAGGTACTCCAATATCATATTCTATTTTGGTATAAAATATAACAGCTATGACTGCACGTGCTATCCGTGTTATTTTAAAAATAATGCATTGCAATACAAACGAAAAACTTATAATCTTATAGGGTTGTAAAAGCGTTGATCGTGGGCACATTTTTAATATGAAGCGCTTTCGCACTTCATAAAAAATGTGCTTCGATCAACGTTTTTACACCCCAATAGAATTATAAAAAGAAGCATTCAAATCTTAAATAAAATTCAACAGCTATGACTGCACGAGCTATCCGTGACAATGTTAAAATAATGCATTGAAACTTAATTTGATGGTTGTAGTATACAAATGCAGTTATAAGAATTGAATGGTTTTTTTTATTTAAGAATTGAATGCTTTTTTTTCGTAATTTTATTGGGGTGTAAAAGCGTTGATCGAAGCACATTTTGTATGAAGCGCTTCATTATAGAAATGTGCGCACGAAAAATCGATTTCTATCATTTATTTCTTTAATTAACATGTGCACTTTATTGTGATGGCACGTGTCATCATGAATGTTACACTTCATTGTGATATGAAGGTTAATTTTAGTATGACGCGCAAGCGTTGGTATCCAATCAAAATAACGGATTCTTCTGAAACATACATGTAATGTAATTATAATTCTATATGGTTGTAAAAGCGGTGATCGTGCGCACATTTTTAATTTGAAGCGCTTCCGCGCTTCATACAAAATGTGCTTCGGTCAACGCTTTAAATTTACACCCAATAAAATTATAAAAAGAATTCTTGAAAAAAAATCTTTATTTCAGTTTTTATCATAGCAAACGAGTTATTCGGGATGTGGTAGTGTAAGGAATATGCAATAAAAATGAGGGAAAAGGGTTGGGGAGGTGGTCAACTCAATGGTATAATAAAAAAAAATCATTTCATATATATATTTACACTGGATACTTTACAGGAAAAGCTATCTTTAAATGATTTCAATTTTGGTCTTGGCTAGGTAATGATATTAAAGTAATGTATACGGTAGATTGAACTAGCTTTTGTAATGTGCCCTCTATGTATGAAAAAATATTGTCAGTTTTAATTCATCGATGCCTCCTAGGCATAATTCCATATACAAATAAAACTACAAGGCGTACTATCATGAAATTTAATCTACGTTCAAATGTACTTTTCAAGTTCACAGGTGTAGAACTGGATGGTCAAAGCAAGAAGCTAAATAATTGGTTTGAAATTGTAGCGGTGCTTCCTTTTACCTAGGAGATAATGTTTAACCGCCTTCATTAGCTGCGCTAGTGGAGTACTCCTTTAGCCAGTTGATAGTGCGGTGTCTTACTGTGCAAAAGGTCCCGAGATCGAATCCCGGCTGGAACAGTAAATAACTTTGGAAGGCAAATGGTGCTCTCCAGTTACAAAATCATTAAATCTTTTCAAATTACAATAAATGGCGTCTTATGAAGATTTGATGCTCGGATTCTTTTAAGTTAATTCAGTTACTAGTAGCTTGGGATTCTCTTAAGTTGACATGAATGCGTATACACACATACTGTGCGGCCAAACAATCTCAAACCCCTTTAACCCACATTTCAGCGAGTGCATGCATCTCATATTGATCCAAGTAAACTTGATGTTGACAAGGATGGACTACATCACACTATCATTAATGACAAACGTGATGCTTTCAACTTTCCAATTGTAAACTTCCCATTTCATTAGCAGTAACGTACCACTTGCTCCATCGTATGGCGTTTAGATATCTCAATTGATACGTGGCGTTCGTACATGTTCACATATATAGACTTCATAATAGGAAGGGACGTGCACATTACACAAAAACTTCTCCAAAAGAGTTATGGGGAAGAACGAGGTAAGTATTAAACTTGTATATATATTATTGTAACACTTATTATTTTGAAGGGTTTGTTACTTCCTCTCGGAGTTTTCAAATCGACAACCAATAACATTGTGTAAACTTTGATTTTATTACTGATGAGCATGTATTAAGTTATCGTCTGAGTAAAATGAATTTAAACTTTTTACATCCAATTTGTATAAATAAGAAGATGTGGTATGAGTGCCAATGAGACAACTCTCCATCCAAGTCACAATGTATAAAAAGTTAACAATTATAGGTCAACATGGTCAAAGTACAGCCTTCAACACGGAGCCTTGGCTCACACCGAACAGCAGGCTATAAAGGGCCCCAAAATGACTAGTGCAAAACAATTCAAACAGGAAAACCAACGGTCTAATCTATATAAAAAACGAGAAACGAGAAACACCTATGAACTACACGTGTACAAACGCGTGACAACCACTGAACAACAGGCTCCTATGGTACATATATAGATATAAGAAGATGTATACTTCATAATTCAATATCTGTCATTTTAATAACCAAAAAAATTCAACACAAAAACAAAATAAGGTTGGTATGAACAAAAGAATTAGAACAAAATAGTTGGAATAAAGAGAAACAAAAAAAAAAGAAGAAAACTAAGAACATCTGCTAACAACTAATATGTGGATGAACTGAATGCGCATTAATTGTCGTTAGAACAATACAGTTCGTTGACTCAAATTATTTCTGAAATATGCGTCACTTGACGTTAAATATCTAGTAATCAATCAATGAAAAAACAGCAGTCTGATTCTTCACATTGATTTTAGAAACGCATATAGTGTCTTATTACATAAATTAAATAAAAAAGAAGTACTTACGTTTTGAAATCTATTCCGACAATGGCTGTCTAAATTAAACGATTCATTCTGTATACTATTGTATGCGGAAATGTTTTAATGATGCTCAACGCAATAAAGTTTAAAAGCTTTCGAAACACGATCTCAAATTGTAAACAGATAGATTGAAATATATAACATGGTAGATCAAAAAGTTAATAACACTTCTGCTTTGAATAAGAAGTTTCCAGTATAAGCACATTAAATCCATTCTCCTTAAACATATACACGATCATAAGCAATGTACAAGGACTTTTAGCATGCCTTAAAGTTAATATCCATAATAATTTTCAAAGCCACTTTTCATAAGAATCAGATCACTGACGAATCATTAAATGTTAAAACAATTTTGTATAGGATATTTTTCGCCATAATTTAATCATGATGATATTCTTATCTATCAAACTCATTCGTAAAACAAAAAGGCTTCAATAGCAGACTAAGTACAAAAGGCTGAAGGAAGATTTGTTTCATAAGAAAAGATGAGATCTAATGTTTTCTTTTCTGGTATTATATATAAACATTCCTGAAAATTAAGCAACCAGTTCGGTATATATTTTTCCTTTAATTTCCGGTTTAAGCGTAGGGATAACTTATATTCCAAAAAACTAATAATGTTGTAAAAATCCAAACATTTCACCGATCAAATTCGTTATTTCATTTTGTCTATAATTGCTGGTCACCTAAGAGAAATTGAAGATCGATTTAGAATCTCATTCCGTACGAAGCCGTGAACGAGAAGTTCATAAAATATGGATGTAAGAGAGAATTAATGTGAGAACGGAGAAGTAAAACTCCATGCAATTGTAACATTTTAATTAATTAATGTGATCATCATTCATGCTGTTAGTATGGTGACAAGTTTTAGGGACGGTTTTGTTGCGGATTGTAGTACCTTAATAAAAGATGTAAGCAAAATCAATCGCCCTTAACTAAGTTCTCACTGGATGTTTGACGTAGTTTTTTCCATGGTTTTAGGTGACGTTGTGTCGATAACCATGTAAAATAAGGAAATGTAGTTTGATTGCTAAGGAGAAATATCCATCAGAGTCAAAAGGACGAGCATGTAGACAACTAGAATATACCGTACGACCCTTAACATTGAGCAAAATCCATGCCACGTACTCAGATATATATAGATTTAAACACTGTATCGAGTGAGTTTGGATATTTATCCCATCGAGACAGTTAAATTTCAAATTCAAGAAGTGAGGCTTGTCGAGCGCTGACGCCATAATAGCAAATTCAGAGGAAAGCAAGAAAATGTGAAGTCACAATTGAAATTTGACCAATCAGGAACTAATATCAAACGATCCACACGTTGATTATATAAAAAAAAAATAATAAACTGGTCGAGGAAGGTATAAATCTGCTTAAATTTAGAAAAAAATATGCTATAAAGGGTCCCAGGATTACTAAATGTTAAAACAATCAAAAAGAGAAAAACAATCGTCCCGATTTATGCTAAAACAATAAAAAAAAACAAGAAAAAGAAAGATGACAAACAAAAACTAACGACAACATCAAAATGGCAGGATTCTGACACAAGTACATACAGAATTGGTGGAGATAAACATGATTTTGGGCACACAACCACTCCTTATTATATGACTGGGTTGCCATTCTGTCATCGGGGATAATTGATAAATGGGATTAAATTGACCGCCAAGAAGGTCTAGAGACCACAACATAAAACAGATTGAAATAATCAGTTGGATTATGGAAATGGCTTGACACATTAGATCGGACAGAAGCTTAACAAAAAAACTTAACATATAGCAAAAAAAAAAAAAAACAAAAAAAACAATAGCGAAAATCAATCTGTTTGTTTTCTCCTCTGTTTTTTTAATTGTTTTGCGTTTTATTTCAGGAGCATTTTTGAATAGAGTACAATACGGTATCGGTTCTGCCCAATATAGCAGGCGGTACGGCGAGCTGTATTGTTTACATTGGCGTCCTCTCGTATTTGTTGGCTACATGTAGTTGTCTCATTGGCAATTATACCACATCTCATTATTTTTATAGAGCAGGAGACACTTTCTGTGTAGACACACGTGATCTCGCTTCGTTTGGTGTTAATGCATTTCAGATTATTTTCATTTTGATTTTTTGTTTAACAAAATGAGACATTAACAAAGCATTGGAACACTACATTTGTATAACTAAATGATGAGTCGCTTACGAAGCGCAAGTTGATTAATTAAAACGTATTTGATGGAATTGATATCCCTTCAGTTATACAAAAAGGGTGAAGATAAGTTGTGCTAACTAATTAACGACCCATAAACACTTTCATCTGTACAAATAAAAAGTGTATTGTTAAAAAAAATAAAAAAAAAAATAAGTATGAAGTCATCACTCACAGCAATCTAGAACAGTTATAAGTGAAGGTTTTTTCGTTAACGAATTTAAGATTTTTAACTCATGCCATTGTATTTTGTTGTTGTTTATTAATTAAACAGACTACTGGTATTAGGTACACCACACTGCTTCGATACATCATCTACAGAAATAACCTACATTTATCTTGCTACTAATATATATACAATATTAGATCAATGTCAGAAAAATATAAACTTGTTTGAATGAGGCTCAGAAACTGGGGAAGGGCGAGGTTGTAACGAGCCCTTCCCAAGTTTTGTGCCGAATACAAAAAAGTTTATATTTTTCTGACATTGACCTAATATTGTTTTTATACTGCAACTTAAATTAATACATTGATAGCTATTTAAATTATAACACAAATTTCAAACTTATCTTCATCCCTTAATAAACCCCTGATTGTGGAAAAAGTAATCCATGATGAAATTGACATTGCACAAAATATAGCTTTGTTACTATATTTAGGAAATAAACACAACTAGTTGCAGTATAAAAAGGGAAAATGACAATTCCACCACAGGCGAAACTAAAATCTTTAACTCCAACTTTAATGAAATAAAAAACTACCAGAGTAAGTGTAAAATGTATCGTATTCTTGACTTGGCTCAGCATTGAGTGCAGTTAAGTTCTGAAGTCCTGGTCAAGCTCTAATCATTTTGAGGTCCACACGAACCATTTAGTAAAATGTCTATCCGGAAACTAATATGCTAATGAAACAGCAAGAAAGGCATCAAAACATTAATCGCATAGTGGGAATATTTAATATATAAAACATTACAACAATATGAAAGTAGATTTACTCATGTGGTATATAGAATCTATACAAAGTATTACATGCAATTGACCGTTATTTCTATCAAAACGCTTTCAAACAGATTTTTCCGGTTATTGCCAAGTATATGTATACTGATTACCTTAGAGTTTAGTGCATTTGTCACTCCCTGTTGATGTGGACGACTTACTTTGACAGACATGATTAAGAAAGTAACCGCTGATACATGAAAAAATCAAGAAGTGATTATGACCTTTCAGTTTTTTTTCAAGTTGTTTAACAGGCACTGGCTGGAATAAGAGTTGCGAGAAGCTACACAAATTTATCCAATGAATGAAGACACAAAGAATTGAATTTCAATATCATCTGGGGGTTTATTACAGGAGAATAGCATAGCCTTTGTCTTATTAGGATTAAAATTAATTAGCCAATCTTTAGACCATGTTAAGATTAGTTCTAGATCGCTGTTTAAGACGTCCTCTATTGTGTAAGGGCTATTACTGGAGTAAGAAAGTGTTGTGTCATTAGCAAACAATCGAGTTAGGCTTATCAAATTATCAGCTATGTCGTTTACATAAATCAGGAATAGTAAGGGTCCTAATACAGAGCGTTGCGGAACTCCTGCATTAGTGTTCTCTAAAGGCGAATATGAACTTGAAACAAAAACTCTTTGTTTCCTATTTGAAATATAACTTTCAAACCATTTGTACAGGTTTTACTTTGTTTTATCAAGGTCTCGGTTATATCAATATTCATATTTTGGGCATTGAAATTATGCGTTATATCTATGCACAGCGATAGCAATCATTTTATTTCTTTAATAGTGTTTTGAATTTTATAACAATAATAAAATAGATAGATGCTCCTGGGTTTAAATGTTACATAGGCCATTGGACTTTCGCATTTGGTACAAATCAAATTCAGTATAATGTATATTATGTAATTATTTCCATTGGATTTAGAAAATATTGGTTTATACAGGCAGATTATGAAGCTTTTTCCAATTTGATTGCCAGTTTAGTTCCGTGTTGTCGTTTCATTACTAATGCAGACAGATATGGAAAAATGCGTTGTTTCTAAATGATATAAAAATAAGAAGATGTGGCACGATCGCCAATGAGACAACTTTCCATCCGAAACCAAATGACGTAGAAGTTAGCAACTATATAGGTCACCGTACGGACTTCAACAATGAGTAAAACTCATATCGCATAACAAGCTATAAAAGAAATCATAAAATGTAAAACAATACAAACGAGAAAAAAAAAATAAATAAACAAAAAACTTATATGATAAATAGCAACAAACGACAACCACTGAATTACAGGCTCCTGCATTGGGACAGCCCACACATACAGAATGCGACGGGGTTAGACATTTTTGCGAACGCCCAACCTTCCACATAACCTGGGACAATGGTGTAACTGTACAACATAAGAATAAACTATGAAAATCACTTTAAAAAGCTTAACCCATCAAATCGACAAAATACAACTAACAAAAAGATTTAAGACACAGATCTGAGAGTACTCGCAGTTACTGAAACCTAGTTCGAAGCCAATAACAACTAGAAATAAAATCTTGTAATTAAGATTAAAATAAAATCAGTTCACATCTAAGGGATTTAGCGTAAAGACGTCATAAACAGTAAGAGAAAAATAATATCTTGAGCAATGCCAAAATATAAGTATCGACAGAATTTGTACCGTAAATGTTCATTGCTGTATAGAAATACTAACTATTACGATAGTTTACACTACTCTGGTGTCTTCAATTATATCTGCTAAATCCATATAAGCAGAATCCAAACGCAAAGCTTTTATGAATTCACTGTAGCCTCGGTCTCCCCGTGATAGCAAAAGATGATCCAACCTCCGGTTTTTCTGTGTTTGCCCAGGACAAGAGTCAATAATTTGATAATCATCAAACGAAAATACCTCTTCTGATATGAGGTGATCTATAATTGTTTCATGTGTAATTGTAGAAACAATATTTTTGAAGTTCTTTTGCAGGCGAAATTTGTATGCTGGTTGTTTGTGTTGTGACTGTGCATGTAGTTCTGAAATTGAAAAAAAAGGTTAATATTAAATTGTTTTTCGATTGATTAACATCCTGAGGAAATTATTAGATGCTAATTCAGGACTATTAATGTTAATGAGATATGCATATACCTTGATCTGTACTAGACCGACACCTTGACTTATATTGTATACATGCTTGCTTACAAGGAAACAGTCCGAGGAACGACATATCATCCTACTCAGACACATTATTTTCTATCCGAAACAAATCGTATTTGCTGTTACTCATAAGTGCCACGCACTTTTTTTGAGAAGCGGAAACCATTATATTTCTAATTAACATATTTGTTTGCTGGACCATTTCTACCTAACTTAAGAGTTCAAATGCGATCTGCTTGGAATGAATTAATTATAGATAAAAGTAAGAAAGTGAATTAAAGGCATCATTTATTACTTGGCTATGACGAAGGAGGAGACAAACAGTAATATCTTGTCAATTTGTAAATATTAGGGGCATTTATTACTAATAGTATGTCGTATACAAATATGATTTGACAAAGAATGACGACTTAACTGTAATTTGCTTCCACAGGCGCTTGTCTCTGAAAAACAATTTCCTATATACCTTAATATAAGGATTTTTTTTTACAGAGACAAGTATCTGTGTTTGCTTCACGTATCAATATGTAAATAAGAAGATGTGGTATGATTGCCAATGAGACAACTCTCCACAAGAGACCAAATGACACAGAATTTAACAGCTATAGGTCACCGTACGGCCTTCAACAATGAATAAAACCCATACAGCATAGACAGCTGATAGTGTTGTCTGTCTTTAAATTACTAGTTACAGTGACTACTTAAATATTAATTAAACTGGGTGGTACATAAGTCTACGTTAAGATTAAGACGCAATATATGGACTAACCTTCTGTGTCTTTTAGTTTCATAACATCACCGCGTTTTTCTTTTCTCCTTTTTGTTTTATTATCTTCTAAACATTCAAATAAGCGCCTGGATGCAAGCTCATTCCGTTGTTTTTCTTCTTTTGTAACGCCAGATTCCTTTCTTTTCTGGCCATCACTGATTTGCTAAAATATATAAAACTCTTTTTGTCATTTTCAAATCCTGGTTTTTCTTTTGATGGAATATAAGGCCCTGATCACTTTTGATAGGTTCTAATTGAGGTAAATTTAATACTCATTTCAAAAGCAGATAAAGCAAAACATTTCAGGGTTTTATCTGAAAATAGTATTATAACGCAATAAGTGTGGTACCTTCGAAATTTATCACGAACAATGAAAATAATTTGTTGCGTCCGAAGCGGTTTTCTGGATTAATTTTATCAGGAAAGCTAAAAAAATGAAGATTTGTTTTCTTTAAATTTAATCGTCGTTCGTAATATAAAATAAGGAGATGTGGTATGATTTCCAATGAGAAAACTATCCACCAGAGACCAAATAACGTAGATATTAGTAACTATAGGTCACAGTACGATCTCAAACAACGAGCAAAACTCATACCGCATAGCAAGCTATAAAAGGCCCTGGCATGACAAAATGTATAAAAATTCAAACGAGAAAACCAACGGCCTGACTTATGTACAAAACAACAAACAAACAAATAATGATATAGAACAACAAACGACAACCACTGAATTACAGGCTTCTGACTTGGGACAGGGACATGCATAGTATACATGTACGATATCAGCTTTGACTTGGAAAGAATTCTGCTATTTCACAATTGTTTGAAATTCCATGCTTACCTGGACTTCAAACCAGTCGTCTATAAATTCATGCACCGCATCATGTTCCTCGCATTGATACTCCTGTCCGTTTTGGTAAATATGACAGTTCTTTAAGCCTTCAAAATTGTCATACTTCGTATCATGACATTTAAATTGCTTACTATGAGTCATATTCACCATTCTGTATTTTTCACATTGTATTCTCTTTATTTCACCACTTATGAAATTTTCTACGTCCGAATAAACTCTGTGTTTAATTTTTCCATATTTCCAGATCTGTATTTGTACTGTATTTTGATAGACAGCCACAAGAAGCTTTTCACAACCGGTGTTAGATATATCAAAAACACCAAGTTCATGAAAGAGAGAAGGTTGTTTTCTATTGTCCATTGTGTCTCTGACTTTAGAAGTCGTGAAGGTTCTGATGTAAGATACTATTAAATGGTTTATAAATGCCCGTGGCAAAAAATTGAATACAAAACACAAACAAGACGTCTTCCCTCCGATAGGAACTTTACACAAAACATCAATATTACTTAAAGCAGCTGTCTTTATCATACAAGGAACAAAATAATGGCGTTCTTCTTTGCTCCGGTCCTCTCCTGTTGCAGTTTTTGGTCGGATAATAATGTCAAATTTTTCCATTACCATAATAACATGATCTTTGTAATATTGTATATTTTTAGGTTGTTTGGTAAAAATGGCATTCAGTAGTCCTGTTTTTAACATTCCTGTTCTCTGAAAAGCATCCCATTCATCGTATCCAAGCAGTTCTAGTTGAAACTTCTTTGCAGTAACTATTGCACTAAATGCATTAGCAAGCCACTGGGGATCAAGAATAATATAATCAGGAATATCACTAAAGTAAATAAGATTTCCTATTTCATGTTGATATCTCAGAAATAAATCTATTTCTTCTGTCTTACGAATCGGTTTCAAAGTACGTGCAGCCATATCCAATATTTTGGAAAAGGATATGATCACGGTTCCCTCATTTTGCATTTTGTTTAGTGACTTTTCTAATTGAATAAATTTCTATGGAAATTCTTTTCCGAAGTTTGTCTTGCCTTTCATTTGATCAAATATTGCATGCTTAATATCATTGATTACGCCATCATCACCCTTTGTATTTGATAATGCAAAGCAAGAACGTAAATGTCGTCTTGAATCCAGAATAACCCTTTGAACTTGTTCTGTTAAACGAGCTCCGCAGTCACCCTTGAAAGAGAAACATATAATGTAAAATTAAAAGTTAAGTTTTTAATATAAACTTGTTCATAATGGACCTAAATGTATTTGATTTATTTTCAAGTGATTCTGTGATTTGGTCCGAATTAATTCCTTGGTCTTTGACTTTTTGAAAATCTAAAAGCTTGGTTTTCATGAACTTGTGAATTCAGTAACTAATGGAGTCTGTTTAAACGCCAGGTTACTTTATACAGTCCAGGTGTATGAAATAAGTTAATAAAAGATGTGCTAATCCACTGCGCAAACAGAGTAAAAAATGTCAAATCAACATTTAGAAATTTGTATACATGTATAAAGTCGCCAAGTAACACAAAATCGCACTATGTTGAAACAGTTTAAAAACGCTTGAAATTGAAATTTAAAGAAAGCCTTAATTATAAAGAGACCTACTTACTTTGAATAAATCTTTGTGTGTGCCAACTGCCAGTATTGGTGGGTCTAACAGTTCGGCATCACAATTCATGTTTGTGCCATAACAATGGATAGAGTCAAACCAAAATTTTAAAACGTCTATAAAAAATAAACATGAACATAATATACTCCGAGATATCAGAGATATTTAAAATGATGTGCTTTTATTTTGCAACCTAGTGGGCCTTGTAACCAATCTTTTAAGTGACCAACACTTTGAATTTTCATTTCATTGCACAAAGAAAGAAAGTGGGTATCACCATTTGATTTTTTTTCCAGTGAGAGGTCTGTATTGTTTTGCAACTTTGTGTTATAAGATGCTGTTTTGTTTACATTTTCCACTTTCATTTTCATCTGGTGTTGTCATGTATACTGAAAGATCATATGCAAATATTAGCGGGAATGAGCGTATTACTGTTCATGGGTTCAAAATAAACAAAATCATCGATTGTCAGCTATTTTGTTGATGGGTATGGTTTTTTTCCACCCATTTCTTACACAATCTGCCAATAGCCTGAATATGTTCTTAAGATCGTTTGTGCACATAACCAAGCTACGAGGCTCATTAAAAAAACATTACGAGAAAAATATTTTTATACGGTATGAACATTTAATAGTAACCTATAAAGACATTTCGTCTTAAGATTTTTAGTTGTTTTGTTTATCCAAACGATACAAATAATAAACAGATTCCATGACAAGAAAACAACAATACAGAAAAAGATATTAAGATTTATTTATGTCTCCATTCATCTAGAACGGATGTAGAAAATATTACATCTCACAATCGAAATAGTTATATGTGTACTTTCTATTCACCAATTTCATACAAATAAAGTATAAATATACCTGTAAACAGGTTAGTGGTCATGCAGTCATCGTACCGGATATTAGATATTATCGTGACCAATTTTTTTGCCGGGGTACTTTAGACACACCGTAGGCGTGCAGAAACCTGTCGATTGTAAATAAAACCAAGTTAGTGGGTGTAACAAACGAATGATTACCTTATTTAACCCAGCCAATGAATAGCCATATCCAAGTTGTTTTGCAAAGGATACTACTTGGTCGTACCAGCAATGCTCAATTTCTGTACTTACCAATATTTTCAATATGATTCTTGTCAATCAGGCTAGTGACGACTAAATATATAGCGTCGTGTGATAGGAAAGTCTGATGCGTGTTATAAAATTCTCTATCACCCGCAAAATCTCAAAGAGTCAATGTGGCATAATCTTCGTTGTCAAGGTCAGGTTCTGCAGCAACAACGTCACGTAGATCCCGAAAGGCTGAATCATATGAACTATGTTTGTCAAATTGATGGGATGATTCTTCTTTCGGAATCACCTCTTGTTGGAATGAGTCAGTTGTTGGGACTGATAGATCAATGTCATTGTTAACATGTGTAATACCTGTTGTTGATGTTCTGTTGATATGAAGTAATACTGAGTTTAGTAGTCGTGCATTTGTCTGCTGTTTCGTATTGCAAGAACCTATAATACACGAACAAACAGTATAAAGCCTTTAATATTTATTTCATTCATAGATAAACGAATTATTTGCACCACGTGAATTCGGCCCTTTTGATTAAATTAATTCCCTTAGGTGTAGATTGAAAAGTACAGAATATATGAAATTTGCGGATAATCAAGTCTTTTTCCGTCTTAGATCTAAACAAACGTGTTTTTGAAAACTTCCTTTGGCGGATACATTTTGTAAAGGCTGTCGTCATGATAAGGCAATATGGCCGCTATCTTCGAGGCAAATTAGCAAAGTACTTAAAATTTTGCCATATGCAAATTATCTTCAACTTATCTTTACCATCCGTTTTATCCTGCAATCAGCCAACTATTGTACAAATAACTGGTATACAAATAAATTTTAGCCTTATTTGTACTTGTATAAATAAAGTCTCTTGTTTATACTCAGCTGTCATATTGAGCAAACGGTAATGTGAATATTTCTTTTTATGAGACAGTTCATTGTGCGGTTAAAATATATCGATTTCTTTGAAAAATCAGAGACAATTATTTGGATATAAACAACTAAACCTGAAAGTGCTGAGTGTAAATTACGGGATAAAAACAAAATATATATACATTGTCGGAAATATCAAATTTATTTGTACTCGCTACGAAACAGGAGACAAGCTCGGCGAGCCTCGGTTTTCATCGTGTTTCTAAAGCTCGTACAAATAAATCTTATATTTTCCGACAATGTGCATATATTGTATATTTATTTCCAACAAATTTGTGTTGATGTCACAAATTCCGAAATACATGTACAGTGCCTAAAATTAATAAGGTGGGAAACATTTTGTATTGTTAGGCAAAGCACTGAATCATAACAGATATGTGATATTTCATACAAGACAGACAATCAAGAAAGGAGGATCGCCTCAATTTATTTCTGTATTTTTTATTATTTGCCAAAAAAGTTTTTAAAATAGTTTGAACGTCAAAAACTGTTTTGTCGTGTACATTCAATTTGCCTAACAATGCTTGAAATAAGCTTCAATAACAGTTCATTAATTTTGTGAGTCATGATGTTTTACTTAAAATTCAGCATGAAATAATTCTATGCATAAAAAATTGTCACCCACGACAACGATTGACTAACCGACTAAAGCCTTACTTATAACTACGTCTACTACATTTACATCACAAACTGAATGGACAAATAAAAAATTCACTCACTAACATGGATGTTACACACGTATATCCCGACACACAATTTTAAAACATACAAAACAGCAGACATAGACATAAAACTGTCTGATTTTATTGAAGATAAATGATTTCTTTCAGCAAATAAAATGAAAATAAATTTTTTGAGATGGTCATCAGGTCTTACAATGGTATGTAGATTTGAAGCATTTAAGAACAAAAATCTTTAATATCTATGCGTAATTTTCTTTTTCTTTGGTTGAAATTGCAGAAAAGTAGAGATTTAAGCCACTGTAAACATACATCAAAGGCATCTTATTTTACATATAAATTGAATTATATTTGCATATCTCTGAATTTAGAATTAAGTTTGTGGCGCACATGATACAAAGAAAAAGACATTTCCTTCATCAAAAATTTCTTTGAAACTAAAAATATGAATGGAGAGATGGAAAAAACTATTTAAAGATTTCTTTTGTCAAAATCAAATCTCAGGCTCTTGTTTCTGGTGATAATCACAAATTAAAGACATACACTATAAATTTGCTGATTTTATTGACGATAGCTGACTTCTTTCAGTAAATAACACGAACAGAATTTTTTTAGATGGTCATCTTGTCTGACAGGAGCAGGATCTGAGTTACATATATCTGTTCCGTACCCACGAAAGACAACCCTTAATAAATCTACATTCTTTTCAATGGGCTTTGTACTAAAGTGAAAATTATGTATATTCACTTATTTATTATATGCAAAGGGTATATGTCAAACTTTCAACTTCTATGGAATTTTGTGTAATTCTGGTATGTATATGGTGTATACTTGTCTGACTGCATTTTCGATTTTAACCTGTAAGTGAGTAAAACGACCCTATTAATACTCAAAACAGTATTGCTCTCTTAAATGCTGGTTATGACCCTTCAAGAGTTTTCGCATGAAGGGGGCTACAAGTTTGACATTTGGCAGTAAAATAATGGAAATAAAAAATCTGGCCTTCAATTATGATAAAATTGCAATGAACTAATATGGTAAATACTTGCGCTCCTGTTCCATTTATATTGGAAACTGCATTCATTTTATTAGATAAAAAAATCATAACAAGAGGTGTTTATATCAACGATTATCAGCTTTACTTAAGATTAGAGTCGGAAAGTCGTGAGGTCGTAATATTTAATTCTATGATTTGTAGCGTCTTTTTTTTTTCTTTCTGGATTTTAGATTTCGATACTATATAAATGTGTCGCTTCGGTTTTTTTCTATATTTATTCAAGGATAATATTGAGCCAAAATCGCAAACAATGAATTGGCTGCACTTCCGGTCTGTGTTTTTGTTAGATGTTTTTCTGCTTTGTATTGATCTGATGAGTTAAGCCCTTTTCAACTAATTTTGATAGTCTTTTCTTATGTTGTGCTGTAACACCTGTGTCCCAGGTTAGGGGAGTGTTGAGCGCCCACAAACATGTTTAACCCCGCCACATTCTTGATGTGCCTCCCAAGTCAGGAGCCTGTAGTTCAGTGGTTGTCGTTGGTTCATGTCTGTCATATTTGTTTTTCATAAATTGTTTTGTTATAAATAAAGCTGTTAGTTTTCTCTATTGAAATGTTTCATATTTTTTCATGTCGGGGCCTTTTATGGGTTTTTTTCATTGTTGAAGACCGTATGGTTGCTTATAATTGCTTACATTCCCCTCATTTGAACTTTGATGAATAGTTGTCTCATTGGCAATCATACCACATCTCCTTAGTTTTATATGAAGCTGTAATTACTTAAGATTAAATCATTGAGAGACACTATGCTTATATTTTATTGGTTTACTTTGTATTATCTTTTTTACAATTAGAAACGTGATTTATTGGTTCATTTATACTTATTTACCTTTAACCTTCTAAGAAATGCTAAATTCATCCAGAAGTTGCAAAATGAAGTGACAAAGACTGATATGATAATACCTTTTTCAAGCATCCATTTGCCGTCTCTGATTCTAATTTTACATTTCTTTACATATATATCTATCCCATTTGTACTTTGAACATTTGATACATCTTCGCATAACAATCGACGAATTAAAGAAGTTTTTCCAACTCCCTGTTTCCCTACCACAATTACTCTGATGTCACGTCTCGTCTCTGTTCCTGTTTCCAATATCCTTAGGTAAAGATCGATAGACTTTTTGTCCATTCTAAGTATTTCATCTGGTATTAATGGACTTTTGGGTGCTATAAATAATAAATCGGTCACAATAGATAGTATTAGAATACACTGATGTTTTAAAAATAACATATACGTATCTACTGCCTGTTAAATTTTAAAGCATAAAATAGACATATCTTTGTGAACCTCATGTGTTCACAATAATTAAAGTTAGACTTATCAAAGTGGCTTAACAACACCCTTTAAGCTCCAACTCCTTTTTGAAATATTCCAGATACGGCGAGATCAGCAATTTATAGATTTATACATATAGATTAAATGTGTCATATGGAATATCGTATTGCATACCATAGTGTTTTCCTCTACTAATTCTGTGCTTTTGGTGTCTATCCAAAATCAAAGATGAACGCCACTGTGAATTTTAGTTTAAGACGTAATCATACTGAAAATGCATACAAATAGCTTCTTCTCAGAAGATGTCTCAAACCTTTTAACCAAATCTTGAACAAATGATTATTGAGTGATCCTATACTTTTTTAGTTTTTTTATGTCGATCTTAAATCTATGATTGGAAAAAATTAATGATAGGACAGTATGAGAAAGACACTCAATGCCATATGAGATCGCACAAATTTAAACAAAATCATGCAAAATATGAACACATAGCAAATATACATTGTAGTTCAGCCCACGCATTCAATTTTCATAAAATACATTTTAGTTCTGCTCTAAAGGGGAACACAATTAGGGATTTGTACCTCCATAATACTACTATTTATATCATGCCGAATACAGTCAGCATGAAAGTCACAATGATGTATGACTCAAATTACTAAATTAATCCTAAAATTACTATCAACACTAATCTTTATCCACACTTTTAATCTAAGACCAGTAAAATTGATTTTGCCAAGATAGCATTTTTTTTCCTTAACTGAAATAAAAGAAATTAATGCTAGATAAAAATACAGCTATTATATGTATTAATAATCAATGATAGGTGTACAATAGTTAATGCTGGGTTTAAAGATGATTAATCACAATGAGTAAGGTTGCTCTGCGAGAGAATTTTCTGTGCTGTTGATTTAATTTTATGATCTGTGCTTATTGGTTTGTTTTCATTTAATCAGAACGGCAACACATGTACATATAATAATAATATTAATAATAATAATAATAATAATAAATTATTTCAGTGTCACATATTGATTAGCAACAATAAGTTTGTATATTTCTTTTTCACCATTTCCTTATAAGTACTTTGTGAAGTATATTTCAATGATTTCTTTTTGCAAAAAAAGTCTGGTATAATTGTAAAATTTCAAAGTTGATGAAGGTTAAGTAATCAAAACAAAGGCTGCGTATTTATACATCCCGAATGAATAATTTAAGAATCAACCAGTTCAAATCAGACTGCTATTCATTTGGGATGTATAAATACGCAGCCTCTGTTGTAATAACTTAACCTTCGTCAACTTTGAAACTTTGTAATTATGCAAGCTCAAATCGTACAGTGCTATTCATTACGGATGTATGTCTATGCAGTCTCTGTTGTAATAACTTTCGTCCCCTGTGAAATTTTAGAATTGCACAAGATCATACCGCATATTACTATTCCTTAGGAATGCATATCTATTCAGTCTCTGTTTTAAATACTTAACTTCAGTCAACTTTGAAATTTTAGAATGATATAAGCGTGGTTCGGTTTTTAATTTGTATACCGCTAAAGATTGTTTTAGTTCAATCAGAAAAGATTGATATGGTTCATTTATCATCATTATACTCATACTGATGAAGGATATCTGTTATCCGAAAAAATTTATTTAAAATTACATGTACTGTTTCCTTTTTTTTATTGGTGTTGTTTTGTACACTTTTAAGCGTATATAATTTAATTTTGGATGTAGTACGTCTTCTGATTGGCTGAAATTTTTTTTGGACATAATTTTGTCATGTGACCGTGACGTCTACCACGATTTTAATGATTTACTCCTTAAAAATGGAATTTAGAATTAAATTATAAGGAATGACTGTAATATTTAACTTTATCTGTCTATTCGAAATAACCTCAAAAATGTGATGCACACTTTTAAAAAAAATCGTTACGCGGGTTATTCAGTATGCACCACATTTTTGATGTTATTTCTTCATAAACATTTTAGACTATTGCGCACATTATCGTTTTGTTGTGAATATCCATCAATCCAGCGCCCTCATGAGGAAATTCGTTGATTAATATATATAGACGCTTTATAAAAACATGTATATATAAATATGAAAATTTAAATTTTTAAAAATGTCGATATTTGATATTATCGGCAATTTGTACATTTTCCCTTTGATCTAACTGCCTAATATATTTCTATGTCATGAACAGGAATATTAGGCAATGACGTCACATTACAGTGCAACAACGTCACGTGTTCATGTCCATCCGCGTCAATTCATCAATGAAATGCAAGCGACTTCATTCATACAACCGAACAACTATCACAACGTTTTACGCGTACTTACAAATTCATTTTATTTCATATTCTCAACCGGAAAATAAAAAACACATTTTATTAGTAAATATTGTCGATATTAAGAATAATGGCATTTTATTTTTTGATACTGACTTCATCAACTCGACCTATCGGGCTCGCTTGATATTATTGCTGATAAAGTCAGTATCAAAAACAAAAATGCCGTTATTCTTTATTTCTGAGTTACAGAATTAAATTTCACAAAATGTAACAATAACGTCCATTATCCTTCCGGTTTCACCTTTATTTATCAGGGATAATGAGATTGTCCTTAAAGGGGCATTAGCTGTCAAATTCATGTTCACCGATTTGACTCAAGTTCTCATATTTGATTTATAACATACTAAAACGTATATATAAATTAAATGAAGACTGCCGACGGTCACATAACCCGATATAAACATAATCATAAATATAAATAGATAGCGACCTCGTGCAATTGGACTTTTCTAGGTCTGTTTGATTTCATGTTATAGGTTAAAAAAATAAGTTAATAATCGTTTTTACCTGTGTAAGAATGATTTTTTGTGGATCGAATCAGTCAACGAAATGGTTCACCTTTGTTTCACTTTCAATGTTGACATTCTTTTCCTTTTAATGACAGAACACGCCTAATACATGCGTAATTAATCTCTAGCTAAAGGGTTAAATTGAAGGTCACATGAATACGGATTTAATGAGGTAGAATAATTCATCGGCGATATTTCTTAGCTTATTTTGATACAATTGAACTAAACTGGCTGCTAAAAGCGAATTATTATTTCACTATTTCACTTTCATTAATGATTGAACAAAAAAAAATCAAATTTAATTTTTTTCATATCTCGTAGCTAATGCCCCTTTAACGACGTCGTTATGGACGACATTTGATTGTTCTTGTAGGAGGTTACATTGGTTGTTTATTCCGGGTTTAGTGTGGGATTGAACTAGTTTATGAAATTATTTTCTTTAACTATTCCTTTGGTCTCAGTTGACGCTTGAAGAAATGGAATTGTGGAATGTGATCTTTGGTGCAGTTTAAAATTTGCCAGCTCAAATATATTTTGGAGTATTCTGGCTGACGGATCTTTTGTTTGGGTACTGTAACTCTTTTCCTAAAATCGCCAGTTTGTCCAATGTAATTCTCCTTACAGCTATTGCATGTGATTACGTATATTATTTCTGGACAAGAACAATCAATATCATATTTTATGGTGAATGTCACTCCATTTTTGAATTTAAATGTTGTTCCTTCTTCAATGTAAAGACAGGTACCACAGTTTGGTCTTCAACATCTTGTAACTCTCGGAATACTGTTGGAACTGCTGGACTGATCAAATTTATCCACTGTTAGATTGCCCCAAGGCCAGTTTACCTGGGGTGTTTTGGTAACTATAGGCCTTTTCTCGTATTTAGAATTGAAAGATATCACCCTTTAAGAAATAAGAGTTGGCATCACGTGGGTCATTTCAATTTAAAAGCTTTTAGAATTGTACCCATGTGAGATTAATTTTCCCACGGGAATATTGAATATTCCAATGAGAAATTTATTTCTAAATGTACATGTGTCATACAATTTTTTTCTGCTATTTATTCCCTTGCTGTTGTCGAAAGAATTTTTACAATATCTTTCACCAGTAAAAAGTGGGATTTGCTAGTTCCGGAATGGCAAATTTGTCCCGCACAGTGTTGACTCAGCTTGTTTGTACATGTATCTAATAATATAAGATTAGAAATACTGTCTTCACACTTTCGTTTGCCACAGACCATAATAATGATTACACACAGGAAGAAAAACAGGTTCTTTTCAGAAATTAACATGACTTCTTTTAATAACAGAGAATACAATTTACAAAAAAAAAACAAAGTGTTATGGATGGATACCCCATATCCTTTGTTTTTCTATCAAACAAAACCTAGTGATTACATTAAACTGTAAGTGCAGGCCCATAAAACAAATGTACCTGCAAAATTGGCAACAGTAACAGCAGTTGAAGCAGCATTGAATGATCTATGCATAGTATTTGTAGACCCTGGTGGTGATAACTGTAAAAAAAATATTAACTGTAATGTCATAAAAAAACTGCTTAAATATGTAACTTAACCTTTAGTTTCGTTATGTATGGATATGTTTCTCTTGTCGTAGCCGCAATAATGTCTTTTTTTACTCGATTTTGACATCACCAAAGACAAATTATCACTTAATTTTTACGTGCAAGTGGTAACACGACGGGTGCCACAAGGAAAGCAGTAACAGCTTACCCTGTCGTATCAACTATAATAAGTTTACCCCTAGTTTTCATTTTAGGGGGTTTGTTTTTGCTTTAGTTTCAGTGTCAGTTGTCAGTTGTCACTTGTATGTTCCATATGCATATCTCTATTTTCTTGTCTAGGATTAGCAAAACTTTTGATCTTTTGTTTTATCAGTCGAATGCGCATGAGGTGTAGTTAATGTTATTGTAAACAACAAATTTGCATTACTTTCAAATATCCATCACTCTTGTCATTCACGACTAACATTTGATTGACAGACGAAAAACACACTTTATAAATTGTATGCGTCCGAAGCCTGGATAAACATACAAGGGACGTAAGTGTCAAAAGAAGGTCGTGCTATACTAACTTTAAACATTCCAAATGTTGAATGGTAGTTTCATGAAGTTCTGGACCTGATTATTTATTATCTCAACTTCTTCAACCCAGAAAATTGTACTTGTCAACAAAAATTTATGTAAGAATCACAATAGATACACGAAAGCAGGGTAAAAACTACAGGTTTTAGAAAATAGCTGTTTATGATGGATATATCTGTTCATTAAAATTTATAACACAAAACTAAAATTATCAAATGTATATTCTATTCATAATTTGTAACCAAATTTAACAAATTTTGACATTATCCGTGAGAATTTAGTATTTATCAATTAATTTAATATTCTAACCACTGGCCACTGGGTCAACGTGTATGAACGATTCTTTTTTTCAATAAAACATTACCACGGTTTAAAACGTCTAACAGGAGCAACACGACGGGTGCCACATGTGGAGCAGGATCTGTGAACCCTTCTGGAGCACCTGAGATCACCCCCGTTTTTTTTTGGGGGGAGGGGTGTCGTGTTGCTCAGTCTTTAGTTTTCTATGTTGTGGTTTATATACTGTTGTTTGTGTTTTGGTCTTTTCTTTTTTGTCAATGCGTTGTCTCTTTTATATGTCCGAAATCCGTGCGAATGCAGTTAAATATTTTCCGTCGTTGTGAAATTACCATAGTATCCTAGTAAAGAAAGGTAAAAATTATTCAACTATATACACAAGCATTTTTCTGTGGATCAGTTTAAACAGCCAGCGGTAATATTTTGAACTAGAATTTTATCCTTGTATTTTACATATTAGCATGGCACGCATTAAATAGTAGAGCGCACAATGTTTTTTATGGTCTGTGCGTATGTCTGTCTCTCTGTCCTGTATCCGTTTTTGGTTTAGGTTAGTTTGTAGTCACATCGTATTTGTACATATGTTCGTCCTGAAGTGACATGTTGAATATATATGTATATATATTCATATACCAAATTAGGGAAATGAGATATGTTTAAGGTGTTACCGTTTTGGTTTAAGATAAGTTCACATTAACTGTATATTATTTTTACAAGTGGTAACGTCGTCATATCGAGAATCGTTTGGTATAGTAATTTTGTCATGATTTCTGGTAGTGGGACATGATTTGATTCAGTGTTTCTGAATGACAAACAATGATACAATATCAAAACTAAGTAGCTTTATTTAAAGCTATTATGTTAATAATTGCAAATTATGTATTTCATAGGTAATAATATTGACACTTGTTTTTTCAAGCATAAAAATGTTCTCTTTCTGCATGTATCAGCACTTTATTCGTTATAACGTACAATTGTTTTTAAATATTCTAAAATGCAATTACATATAGTAATGTTACAAATTTCATTTCAGAATTGTGCTCTGCTGCCAATATTTTGAGCTAAAAATGCAGATTTATTTTCAATTCTGACACACCTAACTTACATGTAACCATGGAGACCAATTTATCTCTTTAAAACAATAAACTATCAAAATAGCACAAGAAAAACAAGACAAGAAAAAAAAAGAGAGAAACAATTCAATCAACAAAAACACGACAAGACTGGAAACGTACCACAGTAATATAAAATTAGCAGATGTGGTATGATTGCCAATTAGACACCAGAGTTCAAATAGAAGATAAAAGCAATTATAAGTCACCGTACGGCCTTCAACAATGAGAAAACAAAACCATACAGCATCATCACATCACTTCATTTATCTTAATAACTGTTAGAAAAAGAAAAATAATGGATATGCCAAAGAGAGCCAAAAATGCTTACAGAAATCTGTTCAGAAGAAACCTCCGACGAACATTTTTATTCAACCAATGATGGTTTGAGAAATAAATACATTTAGGTAAAGATCGGGATTGTAAAGAAGAAATCAACCAACCTTATTATATAGACTCAGCAACGGTTCTTGATTAAATTCCAAACAACAGGGGCCTACTTAATAACTTGCATCTAACATTACAATATAATTTTTGTATATGCGGAGCTTGGCTTTGTTATTTTTATATGTTGTCCGTTGGTATTCGGAGTCGAGTGTCTTAGCTATGCCTTTTAGTGACAGATGTAAAAAAATTTTGGCAAATTTGATTCCGATTATTCCACAATGAAATTGTAAGCTTCATGGGAGGTTTTTGAAATCAGAACTTGGATGAAAGGATAAAATTGCACAACCAGAGCGTTTTGATCTGGATGATTAAAAATTTAATTTTGTCGTTCTTAGCAAAGGAACTTTGACTTATTTATCAACAGTCCTTCAAAAATCAACACAACTCTGAAAAATAAAGGAGTTCTAAGACTTTTAGATTTTATCGGCCTGAGTCTACATATACCACTAATAAGGAACTATTTTCGTAAGTGACGACCTTCAATTTTTTTTTCAAATTCTTGCGTAGCTTTCTTTATTTCTACTTACTTTATTTCAGAAAAAAAAGTGTTTAAAACCTTTTGTCCACGTTAATTTAAAGGAGGCCCTTTTTTTTGCTGATTTTATTTTCACTCAAAATCGAAAAGTTCTCCAATCCTACTGGCAATTGAATGTTAAATAGTCCATATCATCTACTTAAAATATTTTGTAGTAATTTGAAATAGTTCCATAAACTCAAAATGCTATTTAGAGCTGTTCGGAATATTCATTAATCATTACTCCTACATGTACTCATTGGAATACCGACTTTCTGCTGAAATTTCGATTCACTAAACATACAAAGATGTTATCAATAAAAAAAACAGCATTAAATGATATCAACTTCGGTGTATTTCTGGTTGGAATCAGTGTTATTCTTCACAGAATTAGATTATAAGTAAGAGTGTTTCATGTACGGTTCACACCCATTACATTTTTTATTATTAGTCATTTGGTACATTGTGTGATTGTGTGTATTTTTCGACGCGGCAAACAAACTATTGATATTTACATGAAACTAATATGTATCATTTTTTTATTTTTTTTTAACAAATGTGATAAAAACCATAATAAGTCTTCGAACACTTAACTGACCAATGTCAATTGCTCAACTAAACCATGTCAATTTTCAAGATTATTCTTTACGTGCGTTAAATTTCAACAACCACTATTTCAATATTAATAGTTTGACGGAAAATATTGAATCAAACACCTTCTTACTATGTGTATGCTTATTTGTAGAGAACTAAAGCACTCGTACGGGGATGTGGCCTAACTCAAGCATGCCCAACTTCATCAAGTCATGAAATCAATGTACTAAACGCTCCTCGATATGATGACGTTAATACCTATGATATCGTATATATACCAAATAAGGGATTATAGAAAAAAATTCAAAGTTCCATGAACATGGAAATGTGATAGTGTGATCGGGGCATGGTGTCGTATGGACACATTCTTGTTATGGTTTGAACTTCAATACTTGATACTTGCAAATTAAGGAAATTTTTGAATGTTTTGATTATTGTTAAATTTGTGAGAATTGTTACGAATAGTTTCGCAAAAATAAAAACTCCGATTTTAAATTTTGATAGCAATATTTTAACGCTGCTTGTCTTTAAACTGCAATTACTTTTCTCACATTAATGTTCATTGTTTAACAATCACAATTATAATAAATTCAATCAACAATTTTTGTATTTACCATATTATGTAGTGTATTGGTGCATTTGACAGTTCACTGCATTATTCTCAGCATTTATATATAAAAAAAAATTATTGTTTTACAGTCATGCAACAAAATTAATCCAACAAACCTGGGTATAATCCTCTTCGAAGCACAAAATATTGTTAGGGGCGGGTGTGAAAAGGTAATATCCAAGAATTTACTATATATAGCAAAAACGTAATAATTAAAATAAATTAAATCTCCATTATTTTTAATTAATTAATGGTTAAACGGTAAAACGAGATGAATGATCTCTCCTAAATAACAACACGGATGTAGTCCCGTATGTTATGAACGTTTAATTATACTTTGATAGTTTTGTTTAATTTATAGACTTAGGAACCAACTTTATATTGACAATGAAAAATTCTGGAGTCATGGTCATATTTTTGTCTCTCCGCATACACTCTCAAATGTTCTTTCGCAAAACTATACACTTCTTCCAATTGTGCCCTTACATTTGTAACTGCACAATATATTTATCTGTGTTAGGAAATGTATTGATGATAAGCTGTGGTCCTCGTTTTAGTGACTTCTAGGAGTTTGCAAACTTTTGAGAACATTTTGCTCTCAAAGTTTTTCCCATCGTCTGTGTGAATTTCTAGAGGTGTTCCAAATCTGTTGATCGGGAATTGGATATACCACCATCCATCTAGTGAAATAATCTCTAATCACTAGAAGATATTTGTTCTTTTTTCCTGCTCATAGGCAGTGGTCTCATTATATCTATGTCCAGCATATGGTGTATCATGGCAACTTATCAATACTTCTTTTTGTACTACAGCTGGTACTATAAGTTGAAGGTTGTCTTTTGTGTCATGTCCTGTTATTCATTTTTGGTAGATAACCCCATCTATACGTACAATGTTTACCCAGTTCAACCAGTATCGGCGTACAGCAGGGTTCAAACTTGCTACGTTATCTCTATCTGGTCTGGATCCATTG